TTCAAACCCCTAGTGCATAATTTCCTCATCACCACCAGTAACAGAAACATTGCAAATCCCATCTACATGCATAGGAGCCAAAATGATCAATAAATTGATCGTGGGCCCTTAAGATATAGAAGAAGAAGACACTTTCTGTAGCGGTTCAGGACAAAGCGTGCTGCTCGTCGCTGGACCGCCTCCAACCTCTCGATGCTTTTCTGGATAAATGGGTCCCAGACTGTAGAAGCGTACTCTAAAATAGACCGGACAAAGGCTTTATAGGCTTTTTCTTTCACACTTGAGTTGCCGATCTTCAGATTGCGCCTTAGGAACCCCAGGGTCTTGTTTGCCCGGTTGCACACACTGTTAATGTGCTCGTCCCAGCGGACCTCTCTTTGAATGGTAACACCAAGGTACTTAACTGAGGAAACTGGCTCAAGAATATGGCCATGCAATTCGTAAGAGTGGTTTAGAAGGGATCTGCTTCTGGAGACTGACAGTGTCTGGCACTTGACGGGATGAAATTCCATGTCCCAGCTCATCTCCCACTCAGCTAACCGATTAAGGTCTTGTTGGAGTTGGCTCTGGTCAGAACTGTTGGCGATTGTCCTATATACACAGCATCGTCTGCGAACAGTCTTGCTTGAGAGGTCAGCTTCTCGGGAAGATCATTGATATATGCTAGGAACAAACAAGGGCCTAGCACTGAGCCCTGGGGGACCCCTGACTGGGTTCCAGTTGCTGTGACCTTTTGTGTCCGTACTTGGCATCCAGAAAATCTGGTAAGCTTATTTCATACTTTTAATTTACAGTAATCATAGTATTAGTATTCATAGATTCATTTATAGTATTACTAGATAATAATACTTTAGGTAATAGCTATCCTACTGACTATATAGTAGTATATAGACTTTATAGATCATTCATTATTACTCAAACTTATAGCTATACTATAGTAACTTTATAGAGGTCATGATTAGGTCTATTTATGCTTATCCTGAGTTAACTGAGTATATTCTCAGTATAGTCTAAGTTAACTTTTAAGTATAAGTTATTTCTTTGACTTGGAAATTAGTACTATTGTACTATAGAAATAAATAAAGTAAATTATAATTAAAAAACCTGTAATTATTTGAAACATGAATTATCTGGTTTAGGTAGAGAGAGAGCTGATGTTCTGGAGCACCATTGCCACTTCTTGGCTGGAAGAGAATGTACTTCACATCTTGGGCTAAGTTCTTTGTCCGTTTCAAGACTTTGTATGAGTTGCTGATGAGCACCACCGTAAAAGGGCTCTATTAACTAAATATCTTTCATATTATGAGATATTAAAACGTATTTTTTAAATTTTAAATTACTGCCGAAAACACAAATACTTAAATAATATTTTCACTTATTTTCCAAAACAAAAAAAAAAGTATTTATTGTCTTCCTTAATAAAAGTCACGTACAGTTATCTCTCATATTTTTCTTTGAAAAATGACATTGCCCAGTGATTCTAAAACAATGCTGTGCAGCCACTAAAACTCTCTACGTATTACTTCCCTGTATTTCTTAAGTGTGTTTTAAGACCATAGTTTATGTACTGTGAATGATAGAGGGTGAATACAAAAAAAAAAAAAAAAAAAAAAAAAAAAAAAAAAAAAAAAAAAAAAAAAAAAAAAACAAAAAAAACAAAAACAAAAAAAAAAACAAAAAACAACCTACAGACTCTTTAGATATAATATAAGTTGGAGGCCAAAGTTCTAAATGCATATCTTATTATAGGGCCTGTATATTAATTATTGGCTGACACTCCATGAGAAATTTTATCGACGGTATTTAATAGTTTTATCAAAGCTGGAAGTTTATTGTTAGTTACTTGTTCTATCAAATATCGATCTATACTCCAGATAAATGATATCATATATAGGAATATATCTTAGATATATTATATGAAAATATGCCTATACCCCAGAGAGATTATATCAAATATAACCATTTATCTCAAACAGTTTATATCAAATATAAGCTTATACTTTAGAGAGATGATATCAAATATATTCCAATACTCCAGAGAGATTATATCAAATAAAGACTTTACCAGACAGGGAAGATTTCAAATATTAATAGACTCATACCTTAGAGATAACATTTCAAAAATAGACCTTTATCAAAGATGTTTGGTGTAAAGCACAATCTGACCACGCTACAGATTGTACCAAATGACCCCGCGCCACTATTTTAATTAAATTAAGGATTATTTTAAAAACAGAGTGATTTATTTAAACCATGCTCAAATAACAATTATATAACAAGACCTTCAACTTTTGATCCACCGGGCTGATATTATAATACCTTATAAGGTAAACTACACACGCGTTCCGTGGGCTACTTCACCTGCTTCGGTTGTCTGCCCCCCAGATACGTTGTTCACTGATCGATTTGAACAGACGCTTAGTAAGCAGCCAAGTTTTGCCTTTAATGGTATGGCAAAAAGTTCGCGCAGGCTATATTAACCCAGACGCTACAATCTGTCTTCATTTAGAATCTATTTTTGTTAATTAGATCGTTCAGCGTTCTGCAAGTCTCCACAAGGTAAGGACTATTTTATTCAGCTTAAAATGTTTCACGGAGGTCTACATTAAATTCATATTATTCTTGGATGTTAAAAAAGTGGACCACATATTTGATAGGTTTTTAGATATATACTTCTTAAATATATATATTATTCTAGTTGCACGTTTCAAATTTAATATCCAACAGTTTCTTTTAAGTTTGAGTAGAACAAGAAACGAGTCAATTATGTCATAGTTACACAGGGTAAGACGTAAATTATAGGACAGTTTCACCGATATTGTGTGGTGTTGATATATTTTTAAATATGTATAAGATTACGTAGGCCTGATTTGTGCAAAGTCATTTTACATTAATTTTAGGCCATATGGACTGAGCATTTCATGATAGAACTTGACTACTTAAGACTAACGAAGATACCAAGATATACTTACAATTAAATTAGTCAGGGAGTAACATGGTCCCGTTATGGCAGTCAAACATTAGCCAGGGAGTAACATTGTCCCGTTATGGCAGTCAAACATTAGTCAGGGAATAACATGGTACCGTTATGGCAGTCAAACATTAGTCAGGGAGTAACATGGTCCCGTTATGGCAGTCAAACATTAGTCAGGGAGTAACATTGTCCCGTTATGGCAGTCAAACGATGAATTTATTCTCTTTAGGAATCCACGAGTAAGACTTTCACATTTTTCCTCTAAAGCAGAATCAGTGACGTCATCTCTGTGTTTTGGAACCAACATTTATCTCACTCCGCAAACCTGGCTGGGAATGTTGGACACCACAGAAAGTTGGATGAAACTTCAAATCCTTAGTACTGAACGCCAGAAAAACTCATGTAGGCTTACTGACAAGAGATCGTCTGTCGTAGACTGGTGCACCTCGACTGTCTACTAATGAAGCATGTGGCACCACTATTGCCGGTCACTAGCTAAAGTAGAACACTGATCAAACTCTCAACAGTGGACAAGCTAATAGGGTACAGACTCTAACAGCATTGGCTTTAGTGCACAGACTATTTGGGCACAGCCTGGCAGGGCACATGCTAATAGGGCAAAGACTTACAGGGCACAGGGAAATAGGGCTCGGATTGACAGGGCACAGGATAATAGGGTACAGACTCGACGAGCATTGGGTTTAGTGAACAGACTGACCAGGCACACGCTGCCAGCTACAAATGGCCTCACAATTAGAACCAGACTGGCAGAACTGTGATGACATCCTCAAATGTAACCAGATGATGCTGGACCATCAGTATGCCTGTGACATCACATTCCTACTGGGAAAGGATGGTGCCCGACAGGGAGCGCACCGGTACGTCTTAATCAGCCGCAGTCCCGTCTTTGACGCCATGTTCAGGACGTCTTTAGGAGATGACGCACATGAGATGTCCGATGTCATCTTGCCTGACATAGAACTGTCCACTTTTCGTGTGTTCCTTCGGTAAGTTTTCTATTGCTCTTCACCATCATTGTTCACAAACATTTCGATATTAACAATCTTGCACATACAGTTTTCCCACCACATACAGTTTTCAAAAACACATATACAATTCTCACTATACTATACATAGTTTGTCCCTAACATATTGACTATAGTGTTGCCCATCACTAATAGTTTTCCTAATCATATATAGTTTCCCCCACCACATATACTTTTTCTCACCACAAATAGTTTTACCAACAACATATAGTTTTTTCCAACCACCTTAAGTTTTCCCCACCACATATAGTTTCCCCCAACTCATATAGTTTTTCCCCCACATATAGCAGTTGCCCCCCGCATATAGTTTTCCCCACCACATATAGTTTCACCTACATATAATAATAATAATAAGACGTCTTATATAGCGCTGTACATAAGAATTTTATAAAAAGAGACATAATCATGACATTAAAATAAAATACATTTATGAAATAAAGAACAGCAATGTATATTCACCCACCCCACCACATAACTTTTACAAGGAAAACCATGGACGGCAGCCAGCAAGATCATTTATCGGTCAGAGGAGGGGAATCAGTCAGGGTAGTATAATTTAAAAAGATATGTTTTGAGTGCAGTTTTGAAGGCCTGGGTGGTTGGTATATTGCGTATGTGTAGTGGCAAAGAATTCCATTGTTTGGGGGCGCAGAAAGAGAAAGATCGTTCACCATATGTTTTAGTGTGTGTCTTGGGAACGGACAGAATACGCGTGTCTGCAGAGGAGCGAAGCTGTCGAAGGGGTGAATAGACAGAAAGAAGTTCGGTTAGATAGGAAGGGCAGGAATCCAAGAAAAAGTTGTGACAGAGAACAGACAACTTGTAGTCAATGCGTGCCTGTATAGGGAGCCAATGAAGGGAATGGAGTAGTGGAGTGACGTGATCACGTTTTTTTGCCTTTAAAACTAGCCTAGCAGCTGAGTTTTGAACTTTCTGCAGTTTTTCTATGCAGTGTTTTGGTGAACCTGACAGAAGAGAGTTGCAATAGTCAAGACGAGAGAGAACAAGAGCACAGACTAGAGTTTTTGTAGCGCTAACTGTGAGGTAGTGGCGTATGGAGCTGATCTGACGGATAGTGGTGTATGCTGAACGACAAATGTGAGATATGTGTTTATCGAGAGACATGTTGTTAGAAAGAATATAACCAAGATTCCTAGCAGAGGGTGTAAACCGTACGTCAGAGTTACCTACTTGAAATGAGTTTGGAAGAGTTGAGGTGGGAAGAGTTGAGGTAGAGGATGATGTGTGATTGTGGATGAGGGGTGTTTCCGTTTTGTCATCATTAAGCTTCAACTTGCTGAGTGTCATCCATGACTTGACATCATCAATGCACCCCCGCAAACTCTGGACAGCGGATTCAACAAGAGAAGGATGGGTATTTTTGTATAGCTGCGTGTCATCTGCAAATGACTGCCTCTCAACAGCGTACCTCCCAAGCAAGAGGAGCAGTGGTCTGGTATACAATGTGAATAGAATCGGGCCTAAAACGGACCCTGTGGTACTCCGTACACCAATCAGCACTGCCTGTGAGACAGCCATCGACAGAGATCGCCTGCATTCTATCAGAGAGGTAGGACCTAAACCAAGCCAAAACTGAGCCAGAAATTCCAAAGTAATTTTCAAGGGTTTTGAAAAGGATTACATGGGCAACAATATAGCTTTTATCCCGCATATAGTTCCCCCCCCCGCATATTGTTTTTCCACCACATACAGTTTTCCCCAACCATATATAGTTTTCCCCGCCATGTATCTAATCGACTCCACCTACAGATACTTGTACTCCGGTCATGTCGACATCACGTCTGACGCCGTCATTAACCTCCTTTACTGTGCCAAGAAATACGCCGTCGCTGGTCTAGTCAAAAAATGTCTGGCTTATGTGGAGGATGTCCTTGACCCCCAGAACGCATGCGCACTTCTGGAGCAGGTGAGTTGGACATGACTTAAACACACACTCACGTGATTGTATTGTTAACTACTGCTCAAGCGCGTCTTTGGTTTCATTTAGAAAAAGTTTATACTGGACACAGACTAAGATATCAGAGACATTGGTCAATCTAAAGCACCCTTACTGTATGATGTGTTATGTAAGACAAAATGTCTTCCTCGTTTTGGTACGATCATTATATTGTGTTGAATCAAATCATTGAATTCTTTCATCTTAGCCAATAGTAGGCCCATAATTCTGTAAGTTTATTGGTCTATTTTTAGTCTCATTTCTTCGACGAGCATGAGTTCCACGACAAGGTCAAGGCCGTTTTGTTGAGAAAAGCGGAGGAAGTGTTCAAGATGGATGACGTCACTGAACTCTGTGAAACTTGTCTCAGTGAAATTGTGGCAGACGACAATCTGATGGCAAGCGTGAGTTCAATTACCCGTAACGTTGATTACACCAACCTGTTTGATACTTACCTGTAATCTATCGCCCTTGTGTGATTGCTACCTGTAATCTACTGAACTTGTGTGAAATTTACCTGTAATCTACTGACCTTGTGGGATAGTTACCAGTAATCTAATGAACTTGTGTGATTGCTACTTGTAACCTACTGACCTTGTGTGATTGTTTCCTGTAACCTACTGACATTGTTTAATTGTTACCTGTAACCTATCGACCTTGTGTGATTGCTACCTGTAACCTACTGACCTTGTGGGTTTGCTACTTGTAACCTACTGACCTTGTGTGATTGTTTCCTGTAACCTATCGACCTTGTGTGATTGCTACCTGTAACCTACTGACCTTGTGTAGTTATTACCTGTACCTACCGACCTTTTGTGATTGCTACCCGTAACCTACTGATCTTGTGTGACTGTTACCTGTAACCTGCTGACCTTGTGAAATAGTTACCTGTAACCTAATCACGATTTGTTAACGCAATAATATGATGTCGTCATCGTTAACGCCTGCCTACCATGTCAAAGATTCAGCTCGTGTTTGACTTTGGAAGATTTTCTGGCTAAACAAACTTGAAAACGTGAACTACCAAATAGGAGAACTTGTCGGTAGAGAAATAACTAAAAAACACGGGCACTCCAATTTATGCTCTGTGGCGTCACGTAAGGTGTCACTCGTGATAATAATAGAGGGGGGGGTTGGGAGGGGGGGGGGGGGGTAAAGCAGCTGAGTCGGGGTATGGAGAATAAATACCCCCCTGCCGTGTTTTGAATTTCTCCAGGTATCAAAATTAATATTGGAAACGAAAAAAACAATTTTTAAAGTTTTTTTTTTTTTAAATTGGGTGGGATGGGGGCTGATGTAAGGTGATAGATATAAATACACAAAGAAAATACTGATATTTAAAACCACTGATTAGTTGGAAATAGTTCAACCGCTCCCATAATAATAATATAAATATGTTACAGATAATTTCATAAGATGCTAGGGTTATTTGCAAGAGAGGAACATTACATTTTTGGTTTTGGTCGTGGAGATGAAAAAATTTAGAAATAAAAAAGCCAAGACTGATATATTTGACATGATTAATTCTTTGATAAATTATGCAATAAAATTTGTTAATATTAGTTTTTAAAAAAGTTGTTTTTTTTAAAGTATAACTCTGTTGTTCCCTGCCTTTTCCGGGGTAATGCCCTTTATCTTTTTTTATTTTAATGTTTTTGTGTGTATGTTTTTTTTTTTGGGGGGGGGGATTTGACATAAGTTATTAGAGAGTGGGGCGTCCTTGAAAATTTGACAGTTGTTGACAAGGAGAAGAGAGGGGGTACAAATTGCCTCCATTTGTTCGCCCTAATTAATGGATGGCCCCTTCAAAGTAAACTCTGGCATTAAATAAGGATACCATGCAGAATTGTCAGTTGAACAAGGTCCGAGGTTGTGTGTGTGTGTGGGGGCGGGGGTTGGGGTTTGCTGCCAACTTTCAGGGAGGGAGGGGTAGACGCCCCTGATAATAGCCTCGACTTAGTATTCTTTGATTTCAATAAATTCTTTAAAAAAAATATCCATTGAATTATTTCGTTAAAGATTAAAGTTATTTTTGATTTATTAATTTGTTAACAAACTTTAGGAGGACTTGGTACTTGCAGCATGTACGAGATGGGCGGAGGCAGAGTGCAGGAGGCGTGGTTTGGGAGTCACTGACGCAAACTGCAGGATTATGCTAGGAAATACTCTCTACAAGGTAAGTGACTGAATTACAATAGGAAGGTGGCATTTGTTGTAGGGTTTCTCATTAGCCGGGGTCTTGCTTAGCACTTTTAAGAATAATAACTAACTTAAAATAATGAACAGGAGATCGCACATCGTGTCAACCATAGTCCTTTAAAAGATATTGCACACCATGTCAACCATAGCCCTTTAAAAGATATTGCACACCATGTCAACCATAGCCCTTTAAAAGATATTGCACACCATGTCAACCATAGTCCTTTAAAAGATATTGCACACCATGTCAACCATAGCCCTTTAAAAGATAGTGCACACCATGTCAACCATAGCCCTTTGAAATATATTGCACACCATGTCAACCATAGCCCTTTAAAGATATTGCACACCATGTCAACCATAGCCCTTTAAAAGATATTGCACACCATGTCAACCATAGCCCTTTAAAAGATATTGCACACCATGTCAACCATAGCCCTTTAAAAGATATTGCACACTATGTCAACCGTAGTACTGTCCTTGTTGCCAACACTTTTGCCCAAAGAACGCATATGGTAGAGAATGCTGAAAAAAAGACGATTGTCTGTTGTTGAAAAAAATCAACAGTTGATCAAATATCAGCTGATCAACCAATGTTTCATCGAATATCACCGATTGATAAAATATCAGTTGATCAACCAATGTTTTATCAAATATCAACGATTGATCAAATATCAGTTGATCAATAAATGTTTTATCCAATATCAATGATTGATAAAACTTGAAATATGTTTTAGATTCGGTTTCCTCTCCTGGCACCAACAGTATTTGTCAATCAAGTTGCAGGAGGAAGTTTACTTTCAGATGAAGAAAAAGTTGATGTTATGGGCCAATTTATTGTGACCTCCAGGTAAGAGTTGATGTTATGGGCCAATTTATTGTATTCTCAAGGTAAGAGTTGATGTTATGGGCCAATTTATTGTATTCTCAAGGTAAGAGTTGATGTTATGGGCCAATTTATTGTGACCTCCAGGTAAGAGTTGATGTTATGGGCCAATTTATTGTCACATCCAGTTAAGATTGGGTGGTTTCAAACACTGAAATTTTCTCAAAATAAAAAATAATGTCCTTTCATATTTGACTTTATTTTGCTGTAAATAGTTCAGAAAGTTTAATCCCCTCAAGTAAATCTCTTCGTTCATTCAGGAAAAGTTCATTCTTCCAAACTGGACTAAGAACAAAACAACGTCATCAGAAATTCAACAGATTCAAGGAGCGCAACCAAACGGCCTTCAACAATCGATCAGGGACGAGCGCCATCAGTTTCCAGGTAGCACACCTGTCAGCCATGTTGAATCGATTAATCAAAGACAATTTATACCGTAAAATTTATTGATAAAGGAGACAGTTTATAGTTTTAGAAATAAGCTCGCATTTACTATAACCGCATTTTTTCACAGTTTTGTTCTTCTATATTTTATCCCTGGTCAGTTACGTCAGAAGTTTCTTCTGTTGATTTCATTTTAAAACATTAAACAAACCCTACAAATAAATTTCTTCCTATAAATCCTTTAAGAGATTTTTTTGTTGTTGCATTCATGTCATTGCACGTGATTTACAATTAATGTGATTGTAGCAACTGATGGTTGGTTCGTGTATGGTTTTTATCGAACTTAGTGCATTTAAAACATAACAGACTAAATTTATATTTAAACATCAAAACGTTATAAACACAAAGCACATAGCAACCGCTGAACAATTAATCTCCACACCAAAACACGCCCTCTCCCCCTGAACAATTCCTATTTCACTCCTCTTCACCTCGCAAGACGGAAAGATACCTATTTTTTTATTGGGGGGGGGGGGGGGCTTTGCAGTGAAAATTTGATGGAATGGGTTGTCATAGGCATTAAGTCTTTGTGTCAAGTTTCATTTCGATAGGATGATGTAAAGTGGGTCAATTAGCCGTTCGAAGATTTTGCCCCAAAAAACGAACAAAAGCGAAGATAATACAAAAGATTTGTTTCTTTTGCAAACAAAACTATGAACTACAATTTTAGACATTAAGTTTAAAATTTCTACGACTTTTCCTTTTATTCTCAGGTCAACAGAGACATTTTACTGGAGGGTTTCACAATATACGGAGCTTGCAAAGGGACGAAACAAGAGATACAGGTCAACGGTCGAGTCCTTGACTCCAAAGACGAAAGCATTTCTTCCGTGGAGTCCACTGTGGAGACAACCGGGAAACAAGATCTCTATGACGTCATGTTTGACCAGATCTCCCGTCTGCACCAGGGCACCACCTACACCTTGCTCGTGGAGCTGCAAGGTCCACACACGTTTGCCGGCCAATGTGGGCGGCTGTCTGTATTATGTGACGACGTTCTGTTCGCATTTTCGCACTCAGACAAGTCTCAGACAGGAACGACAGTGACCCACGGTCAGCTGCCTGGACTTATCTTCTCTAAGTAGACAACACCAGCCGGATTTACTTTAGAATGTACAGCTATACCCTATTATGTAGTTATACTTGTATGCAGTATGTAACGTTATACCCTTTTATGTAGTTATACTTTAGTATGTAAAGTTATACCCTAATTTTTACAGTTATATTTCAGTATGTAAAGTTATAAACAAATATGTAACGTTATACTTAAGTGTGTACATTTATACCAAAGTGTGTACAGACAGTACATTTTTAGTTTAGTATGTACAGACAGTACAGTTATACTCTTGCAGAGACCTAATCTGCAAGCTGTGGAAAATTGTAAAATATTTTGGCAGCACCCCCTACCTCCGAGTAAGCGGTCAGTAACAATAGATGATGACGTCAACAACCGAACACCCAATGTTGCATTCGCAAGACTCACGCGCCCTCCCTCAGCCTTGTCACTACGCTGAAAGTATTTAGGGCAATCTTATTAACACCTCTTCTATACGCCAGGGAGACGTTGACGGTGAACACCACACGTGATAGGCAACTGAACCATCTCCACCTTCGATTTTTATGTAAACCTCTTGGCACACGGAGGCAGGACAAAGTCCCAGAAAAAGAAGTCCTAAGAACAGACTGACTTTATCAGCACACACACACCTTCATACAGAAAGGTCAAGGTCATGCCAGATGGGGAGACATTTTGCGTGAGTGCCAGACAGAAACCTTGCTAATCTTCTGTGAACCTTCCAGAGGGAAACAATCAGCTGGTGGGCAGACAACAAATGTTCTAAAGATTATCTAAAGATTATTTAAAGGCTTCATTCCAATCGTGGACATCGACATGAATTCATGTCAATGTCCACGATTGCAATGGATCGTACAAGCTGGCGAGGTAGGCTCACTGGTGACTGTTGGAGCACCATTCTCAGGGAGTAAACCCATGGCTCACGCCTAAACACGCACAGCCGTGAAAACAGAATCGCCTCCCATCCCTCAAGGACACCAAAACACGTGGGCCCTACGTGCGGGAAAGGTTTCCAAGCACAAGAATAGGGCTGGCAAGCCACCTGCATACTCACCGTCGAATAGCCTTGTTCATCTTGGCATGCTTAGGACGTGAAAAAATGTACACTTCTACTTAATTTGATTCAGTTAAGTGATATCATTATTTCTCTAACTAAACTGAGCCAAAGATACGTTCCTGTCGGATGTTGACTTTGGAGTTTCATTGCAGATTGGAGTTCTTGATTTTACAGCCAGACATGTTTACAAAAAACATATTCACTTCATAGCCGGTATTTAAAAAAAAAAAAAAAACCTTGACGTTGTCAAATAATTTTTTCTTTAATTATTAGATTTTTTTAAACTGAGCCAAAGATACGTTCCTGTCGGATGTTGACTTTGGAGTTTCATTGTAGATTGGAGTTCTTGATTTTACAGCCAAACATGTTTACAAAAAACATATTCACTTCATAGCCGGTATTTAAAAAAAAAAAAAAAACCTTGACGTTGTCAAATAATTTTTGCTTTAATTATTAGACTTTTGTGACATGGGGACAACGTACATGGTTATTATTACCTGTCCTTGGATTCATCGTGTTTGTGTGTAGCTTCTTGTATTGATAGCAATTTCTTTAAAAATTGAAATTCTTATTGAAATCAATATAAGCTTTATAAATAATTTTCCCAACCCAAAATGTTTTCACTTTGCCAACACAGAAAGAATTGTTTCTCTTAGAGTTAAATTTTATTTCTAACCACGGAAAGAAAGACGCTAATGTGTTCAACCATGCGTGCTGTGCTCTCGGTCTGGGTCGTTAAATTTCTGGATGACTTCCTCCGCACCAGGAATACCATCCAGTGAACTGACATCGGCTGGAATGACGCTGGGGTCAAACTGAGACGACCAGGTGTACGCATCGGCATCTTTGAAACAATATTCTGTTTGCCTCTGTTCGTAGTTGTACGTGGAGTACATGATGTAGAAGTTGCACATCTCGTCGTGGTTGGTGCTCCTGTGAGATCATTAAGCATTGCTCAGAGTTAGCTGGGGTTAAGCTTTAACCATCAACACATGTATGCACTTTGAGACTTTGAGAACATTAAGTAATGCTCAGAAGCAGCAAGGGTTAGGGTTATGCCACCAACTAAATGTATGCACTTTGAGAACATCAAGTATTGGTCAGAGTTAACAAGTGTTAGGGTTTAACAATCAATGTGTTTAACTCTTAGTGAATGTTGTATCTGAATTAAACGCTAAAAGTGCATTGTGCATGTCTACTTAACATTTCCGAGTGCGTCCGTCTATAACTCTTACATGAGGACGTTTAAGAGATTGATCGAACAAGCCACACACATAAGTTAACAATTTGGAACTCAAGTCAACTGGGTTTTAAACTCTTTCAATTATTTACTTATTTACTTTTCTTCGTGTGTTTCTTTCTGGCTGGCTGATAAAATCTTCGGATGGCTAATTGACCTACGTCCCGTCAACATATCGGGCTTAAACTTGGCATATAGATTCCTTGCCGATGACTTGGCATATAGATTCCTTGCCGACGACAACACATTCTACCAAATTTTCAGCCCGCCCCCCAACCCCCCCACCCCCCACCCCAAAAAAAACAAACAGTTTTCCGTTTTTGTTTAAGAGGAAGATGAAGGAAATCTAATCCACTGATTTCACGACATTAAGTTCCCGATAACTGCGCTAGATGACGTCCTTTAAAAATAAAATATCGCAAGTCGTGCGTTTACTTATGCGTAATATTTTCTTTTGTTTTTTTGTTATGGTATAGTGGGTGAAATAAATCTGTGTTGTAAAAGCAAGTGGGACATCAGAAGATCAATTATGTGTTTTGAAGGGTTATTTAAGTTTACAAAGCATCTCCAAGTTTTCTCACTGAAAAATCGCCGTGAAATGGATACGGAGAATATGAAATCCTTACTCACAGTTTTTGTTTAAATAAAAGTGTAGCTCTATTTTTGTTCGTTTCTGTGGCGTCAAGCCACAACCATTGTATTGTAAATTTTTTATAAAATAATTTCCAGAAATTTACACAAAGCCTACACAATCCTAAACTATAAAAGCGTACCCAATCTTTGTGACATCGTCCCTGGACATGCTGTTCATCGTACACCTACTTGCCAGGATGTCCCCCTCTCGTATATCCATGCCAGGATGGCTCACAGGGTAAAAAGTCTTTGGGTGAAGGGGAGGGGGGTGGCAACACATGAATAAATATATTACAAAAACTTGTATAACTCGTCAATAGACACATAAAGTATACAGAACAAATTTACAAACCTAAAATATAGGCCAAGTTGTTTTTGATAACTTATTACAGGGTGATATCATATGTCATACGCACTAGAAAGAGAGAATTAGCAATATAATGAAAGAATTAGCAATAGTAAGAATGATCTATAATACAGAAGGAGAATGAGAGGGGCCATTAGTTGGGAGAGAGAGAGTGAGAGATAGCTTACAGTAGGGAGGACACCTAGAAAAGGATCATTTGAGTTAAGTTAGGATTGTAAGCCTATAGATAGTCGCATGCATGAATCCATGGATAAGAATTAATTGAAAAGCATGTCTACAGATAGCTGCATGGATGAATGCATGGATAAGAATTAATTGAAAAGTAAACTACTTTGTTCATATCAGATCAATTACTACACTTTATGACGTGGTTTCAAATGGGAAAGTGAAATGATCCTTTCCCACCCCACCCCCGCCCCCCACCCCCACCCCGGGGCAACAGTTCCGCCGCCGCCATTTTGCCAACACCCTTTTTCCTGCCGCCATTCTGCTTAAATCCGTTTTGACTACAAATAACCATATCTAGAAATGATTAAAAAAACATTTGTGGTAATATCATTTTAGATGAGATTAAAATGACGTTGAAACATTAAAAAACTTTACATTAGTTTAAATATAAATTTTATGGATGCCTCTCAAAAACTGACTGGGCCACTTAAACATCTACGTCACTGTGTAATCGGACGTGGGGTGCACTTGTTTAATCACCTGTTTACATCAATGGTTGGACAAAATATTTCAAAAGTGTACCGGTTTTATAAAAAGCACGATGTTCCCATCAGATTTGTGTACACAATTTGGCTCAGTTTGTGGTATTATCTTTTTTAAAGTGCTAAAGATATCCGTTTCAGTCCCATCAATCTACATAGGAGCTGATGCGAAGCCCTTGGACAAAGCCACACAACTTCTTAAACATGTAAATACTTTGTTTACCATCGCATGTGATATTGTTCGTGGACAAGGTAGACGGTGTAGCCTCCAGAGAAATGGCCAATCGGCGAAACAGTGACGATGAAATGGCGACAGCGAAACATCTTAGATCTTTTTAATGTCGTTAAAAATCAAATGATTACCTGGGGTGACTGGGGTGATCAAATATTTACCTGAAGTAACTAGGGTAATGAACTATTTACCTGAGGTAACTGGGGTGACATTCGTCCAATTTCTGTCCATTTCCCATCTCGTATCCTGTATCCCGCCGTGACCATTCCTTCAAAAAACAAGTGTGAGGTAACTTTTGGTTTCATAATGGAGGAACGTGTCTTTACAAAGATGTTTTCACCCTGCTTTTTTAAACAAAATTTCTCGGCACGCAGTCCAAACAGATTACTTTGGTGTTACATTTTTGTACATTCAAACCAGCTGACTTGGAGGTACATTATGGTTATATATTGTTTATTACACCAAGCTTACTTTGACGTACATTATGGCTACACATTGTACATTCCAACCAGCTTACTTTGAGGAACATAACTGTTACAATTATTGTACATTTTATGAGGGACTATACTCACCTAGATTGTGTGAATGTGTTCTGTATCCTATTGGGTAGATTGTAAAGTTGTTGGAATAAACACATGCTGAATCCATGGTGTAAGCTGCAATGAAACAAATGAAGACAATTAGATCCATTGTAACAAATACTGACAACTAAATCCAATGAAACAAATTGTGACAATAAGATCCAATGTAACTTAGCTTCCTAATTTGGAATTTTAAATTTCATTTATTTTTGTTAAATACATTCTTAAATTTCAAGTCTAAGAATTATACAGCATTGCTTGTCAGTGACAGCATGATTATAAGGTGCAGCATTGCTTGTCAGTGACAGCATGATTATAAGGTGCAGCATTGCTTGTCAGTGACAGCATGATTATAAGGTGCAGCATTGCTTGTCAGTGACAGCATGATTATAAGGAGCAGCATTGCTTGTCAGTGACAGCATGATTATAAGGTACAGCATTGCTTGTCAGTGACAGCACGATTATAAGTTGCAGCATTGCTTGTCAGTGACAGCATGATTATAAGGTGCAGCATTGCTTGTCAGTGACAGCATGATTATAAGGTGCAGCATTGCTTGTCAGTGACAGCATGATTATAAGGTGCAACATTGCTTGTCAGTGACAGCATGATTATAAGGTGCAGCATTGCTTGTCAGTGACAGCATGATTATAAGGTACAGCATTGCTTGTCAGTGACCGCACGATTATAAGGTACAGCATTGCTTGTCAGTGACAGCATGATTATAAGGTGCAGCATTGCTTGTCAGTGACAGCATGATTATAAGGTACAGCATTGCTTGTCAGTGACAGCATGATTATAAGATGCAACATTGCTTGTCAGTGACAGCATGATTATAAGATGCAGCATTGCTTGTCAGTGACAGCATGATTATAAGGTGCAGCATTGCTTGTCAGTGACTCTTATCAAATTATTAACCATTACGTTATGTTTTTTTTTATTAAAAATAATAAAAGAACATTTTATTAATAATTAGTCCATTTCTTTTAACAAGTTGACAAAAAAGAAAGATTATATTTTGGATTATCTTGATAAGAAGGCTAAAAACATTGGGAATGATTTTTTGAGAAAATATGTCGGTCATTTGGATTAATTGTATAGTCAAATTTATTCTTAACATTAATAAATGCAGGTGAGCTCGAAGTGTGTAATTTTCACAAGTTTGTATGTACATTCGCATAAATACCTTTAGATTTTGGAGGTATTGAACCCCAGTCACCTAGCACGTAATAGTTTGCCAGTTGTGAGGGTCTGTGAACAACAAAAAAAAAGGAAATGTAAGTCTTGAAATACATACATAAATAAATTATTAAGTATTCTACTTGACATAACACAGGTACTCTATCTGACACAGCACGGGTACTCTATCTGACACATCACAAGTACTCTATATGACACAACAGAGGTATTCTATCTCACACAGCAAGTGTACTCTATCTGACACAGCAAGGGTACTCTATCTGACACAGCACAGGTACTCTATATGACACAGCACAGGTACTCTATCTGACAAAGCACAGGTATTCTAACCAGCACAGCACAGTTATTCTATCAGGCACAGCACAGGCGTGGTGTCAAAGAATTGTTCAAAGTAAGATTATTCAAATGTTCAGGATATTTTTACAATTATTAAAGCATGAAACATTTCATCAAGTTATTTGTGAATTTTTATGTGTAAATCTATTTATTTTTTTTTAAATTAACGATAAGGTAGACAGATTACATAGTTTGATGTCACGCCTTCATTGTATAGGTAACACATCTTAAATCTAAATGATAAACAGTTTGATAGAGACACACAGTTTAACGTACACACAGATTTTAAGGGAAACTTTTGAGA